CACACACTCCTACACAACCTGTCAGAAATCACAAGACATGCTGTTTCCTCTCCTGTTCTGATGATAATTTGCCTGTTACAAGGGGGAAGCGCTTTTCACAACCCATCAAAAAAATTAATTACACACAATGTGGGAAAGTCTCTTCTGAGAGCATTTGAGGTTTCAGGCAAAAGTATGAAAATCAAAAACAACGCCAGCTCGAGACAGGTGTGCGACAGACACCCACACTGATTTTGTTTTGCTATACGGGCGATTGAGTGGCTCAGCGGGTGGAACTGTCACCTCACAGTGAGAAGAACCTGGCTTTGGTTCACACATACTTCTGCCTGTGTCTAAGTCTTCTCACCATGGTTCCTCACCCTGTGGTTTTCAGGCCGAAGGCATCTAAAATCATTTGGACCCTAAACTGCCCATATGGAGGAGACACAGGAAGCATGCTGCGAGTGCAGAAAAGCACCGAACTGTAGAACAGAATGAAGTGAAAAAGAAATAACATTTTAAAACAAATGAAAGGAAAAAAGTTTTGTCCCTAAAGCCATCGATAAGGGTTTGCAATGCTAGAGCGCCTCAGCTTGAATCACAAAACAGAATATTTTATAGAGAAATTCATTCCTCCTACTTTTCTGCTCCTCTGGCAGATTTTTTTCTCCCCTCCACCGTTTTTTCAGCTTCCTAATGATCCATTAAAGCATTGACTGTACTGTAAATCACAATTACAAAAGCAGCCACCCAAGTTAGTCATTAGTTCCAAAGCAAGTAGTGGTGTCTATGTGAAAAGGCCAGATAATTGCTGCTTGAAGGGCTGCTGCATCAGTTGCAAACTGCAGAGTTATGTAATACTGTGAAACAGAGGGCAAACAGAGGGAAAGTGCTTTAGGAAAATAGACCATAGATTTATTAAAATAGACTTAAGTTGAGATCTCTGGTGCTATTAATTTAAAAAGAAAACCCACTAAAAACGTCACCAAATTACTGTTTAAGGGCATATTTTGGCAGGTGTTGGTGTTCCACTTACAACTTACTTCCACTGCAAGTTTCTGTTTTAACCCAAGCTCTTAAATATTTTTCCTCTTAATGTCTACTATTCCTATAGTACTACTACTAGCAACAGAATTTCTGACATTAAAGAGAAAAAATACTAAATAGATCGTTGGAGTATTCGGTCTACATAGAATTAATGATAGGTGGATGTAAATACAATAGTTTAACCTTCTTCTGCAGATGTTGCATATATCACAGCATTAACAGCTGTGGTTTATTTTTATTTTAATTAAAGAGCATAAAATAGAACATTATAGATTTTATTAATAAAACCAGTGTTTTTGAACCTTTGAGGGATGTGATTCAGGCTCATTCGCTGCACTAAGGTGGTTGATTTGTCTGTTTTTTAAGTTACAGACAGATTTGATTCACCTTTACTTGATGTTGATCCAGGAAATTTTCTGAGGATTCTTTTACCGTTGAAAGACAAATAAAAATACAAATGAAGCTGAAATTTAAAAAAAAAAAAAACTACATGATGAAATTGTTTATATGTTTTCCAGACATGATGACATTAAAATGTCTCTTTGAAAGCAGGAAGCAACCTGGCGAGTGATATTTTTGTGTTGTATTTAGTAACTCAGGGTCTTATTCTGCAAAATGATTGACTATACTTCTTTAAATGCAAATTTATAATAATGTTTCAGTACTTTCACACAAATAGGGGTTTGAACACAGAAGGTTTTCTTTTATTAGACAGGGAATGATTTATTTTCTACTAATTTCACTGAGGTAGCTCAACTCTAGTAGAGCTAAATATTTTTGACAACAGGTCCCAGATTTTCAGGAACATCACTTGTAGTCATCTTGCTCTCTTTCCTA